TCTTTTTTTTTTTTTTTTTTTTCTTAGTTCGTATTAAGAAACTGAAGCGTTCATTTATTATTCATTTCACTGGAATTTCACGTTACTGGAAGAAGAGTTTTAGTTAGTTTCCTCGACGAGGGATGATTTTTAATACAGGCTTGTTAGTAATTTTGTTGACTTACTGGAGAAGAAATAAGAAATGTAATATTTTTGTCTTTTTTTTTTTTTTTACTGCATTTTTTGCGCGTGTCTGAACATTTCGTTCATTTAATTACATGAATAATTCGTTGCCTTCAAATTGGAGGCGGAAAATGGGATGAAGCTGCATAAAAATGAAGAGAGACATTTTTCGTGCGGACCTTTATTTCGAGATAAATCGATGTTGGAAATTCCGACGAGTGTATTCGCGATAACCCGTGATGCTCGTTCCTGTGTTCGAAATTATCACGTTCGTTGGAGAAAGATGAATGTCAAAATAGAAAATTTTCCTTGGTTAACGCGGAAATAACTGGTAAAGCTATTTCAATACTTTTATCAATAATTTTATTAATTCTACGTGTAGACGTCGTAGTGAAATATAACTTCGTTATCGATTCATTCGATAAATGAAGCTTCGTAGGGAAAGAAAAATTCCTCTTCTACTTTTTGACTCGCGCTTTTTCTCTTATACCAACACTTCGAAAAGAATGTAGTATAATTTTTTTTTTCCACTTCTTTTCAATAATAGAGACGCGTGTATGAAAAATTGAACATCGTGGCATAAAATTAAATTATACAAAAAAAAAAAAAGAGAGAGACATTCCATTTTAAAAGTATAAAAAAAATTTTCGGCTTTTCCGTAAAATAAAATGGCCACAGATTCCAATGAACGCAGCTAAGCCACAGTAATGGAATTTTTTACAAGATATATGTATACGTGCTCATAGGTGAGAGAAATGGATTTTACTTTTTTCGTATTTCGAATCTTCGAAATCAAAATAAAGAATAAATGTTTCACAGTCGATCGAACTAATAAATTTCAACAAGTATCAATCGTCGAAAAATTTAACATTGTGAGATACGATATTTGTTTTATTGGTAAAAATAACGAATAATTTCATAATATTAAATCACACGACTTTGTCCTACATTTTACAGATGTAGGTAATCCTAGCGAAGCGTACGTTTAATTAAATGCTCGTATTTGATTAGTGTGTGTACTTATTGGTAAATTCGGTTCACGAAGCGCTAAACGCTTTGGATTTACCTGTTTGTACGGCTATTCGTTACACGTAATTGATTCCCGATAAATAATCTAACCAATTAGGTAATGCTAATTTCTAATTCAACCCGAAATCGAGCCGAACTTTCAAAGCGAATAAAACGTAAAAAAGAAGAAACGTAGAAACTTTTTATTTTCGTCCATTATTTTTAAAATCGAGTAACAGGATTTCAAATCTGATGGAAAAGGATTCAATTGCTCGAGAACTGGTCGAATAAAATTCTTATCACGTTATACGTGTGACACTTTTAGTCCATAAGCCGAAAGTTTGTGTATTCCATCGTTGCCAAATTCATAGTTCTTCTATTTTGTAATTCTTGGCTCATCGGTTGGCGACCGATTCGAGCCAATGACACGGATAATAAAGCGAAGCTGTTGCACGGAAAATCGTTTGAGTTACTGGAGCGAAAATAGGTCATGGAATTCGACTTCCTTCGATTCCTCCCTCGCGAAGAAACGCTGAAAAATTTCGGAAAAGTTCCTGCTGTTAAAAGTTGCGACGAGAGAACGTTTCGTATCCGAAATAGCTCTACCAGTGTCTCGATATTTTTAACGAGTGATCCCTCGTAATACAGCGATTAAAAAATAAACCCTCAAGTATACGAAGTCCTGATATTTTTAACGAAACGCTTGAAATAAACCGTTCAATCGAAGAGGATTCTAGATCATTTTTACATCCCTCTCTCCACGATCCTTCCAAGCTTAAAGGGAAAGAACACGGAACATTAATCCACGCGTTCCCCTGCGGTCGAACTGCCCCTCCCTTCTACACCCTCACGCATTCGCGCACACTCGATCGGAGAGTTGGAAAAGTTCGAAGCTTGGCGAAACGCGTAAATAGCGTTCCCTCGAACGCCCGCGGATCGAAGCTCGGGGAAGAGGAGCGGAGGATGCATCTTTTCCCCCCAACTTGGAAAAGTTTGGCGCGTGTCGATTTCAATTCTCAACGAGGCGTAACGGGCCTTCGGGCTCGATGAAACTTTCAACGCGACGAGCTCCAGCCGGCTGCTCGTTTCCTAAGAGGGGGGGGGGCGAAAGATTTTCAACAGCGATGCTTCGCGCTCCGTTCCGGGATCTTCACCCTTTTCGTCCCGATCGCGGGGGTTGGACGCGCTGAAGGGGTTCGTCGACCGTTTCGACCAAAGTGCCAACTTTTCCTTTTCCCTCCCCGCTTCCTCCCCTCCCTCGTCTTGCTTTCATCTTCTCTCTCGCCGCTCCAGAGGACACGTAAACAGGGCGGAACCGCGTAAGGCGGGACGAATGAAAGGAGGCGAATCTCCTCGAGCGTGGAACGCGTCGCGATGATCTTCATCGGCGCGGCGAGGAGAGGAGTCGGTTCATAATTGCAAAGAGGATCGAATTTGCTTTGGAAATTTTGTCCCCCTCCCCTCCTTCCACGACCATCCCCTCGACTCGGGATAGGAGGCTTCCCTCGACTTTGCCTCGATTTCTATCACGATTTCATGCCTTATATGCATGCGTGTTTATTTCGCTTGTTACAGACTGCGGGAGTTCCCCGCGCGTGGGCGACGCACGGCGGCGAGGACGTGCCAGTGTTCGCGATCGGCCCCCTGGCCAACGTCTTGTTCTCCGGTAGCATCGACCAGAGCTACATACCTCATGCGATCTCGTACGCCTCCTGCCTGGGCCACCACGCGAGCCGCTGCTCCCGAGACCCGACATCGAGCAACGACACAATCAGTGTCCCGATAAGCTGTCCCTCGGCGGAGCCGAACAGCGCCGCGATATCCAGCGACGTGATGAACGACCAGGCCAGAAATCCACCCACCAAATCCGCCGCGTCTCTCCTCACGCCGGCCACTGTTCTGCTACCCCTTGTCCTTGCCGTTCTACCCTCCCCCTCGCTCCAGGGGACGAGTTAATGCCCGTCAGACCCTCTTCCGGTGAATAGTTCCATTCCTCCTCCTCTCTCTCTCTCTCTCTCCCTCTCTCTCTCCCCCTTTAATCCGTTCGAGGACGAGACAACAGGTGATCCAACGACTTCGTTATTCGGGATTAACAGGGCCGAGTATCGACGAGGGCGAGCAGAGAGATTCGAGGGAACGTGGCTCAGAGTCGAGTCGTCCGGACGAGGATTAATAAATCGAAGCCCCGTTAATTCTTCGCCCCTTGGCGGAAGCAAAACGAGAGGTGTACGAAACGAGGTGAATAAGGTGGCTTCCTGCACAGGATATACCACGAATTCGAATTTCCGTGTGAATAATTGATCGGCTCCCCCGATATCCGGTGCCTCCTTCTCTCCTGATCGAGAGTATTCTCCCCTGGAACCTGTTTCGTAAAATCCGGGGATTGTATACGTACGGATGTCTCTTATCTCGCGTCGCCTTGAACGTGGTTTAATCCGTTATTAACGGTGAAGAAACGGAGAGAGGGAGAGAGAAAGAGGCGTTGTTCGATTGACCGAGAGAGAGAGATGGATATCGGATGTTGGGGGGATGGAAAGAACGAAGCGAAGTAATTTGCTAGTGGAGCGTCGAAAAAGTTCTTTCTCGGAATCTATGGAGTCCACCCACTTGGATTCCATGGAGAGAGAGAGAGAGAGAGAGAAAGAGAGAGAGTTAATGACGGTTCTTGCCTAATTTCGCGAAGAATTTTAGGCGGCTGCGCAAGAGGGTGGAAAGCGGTTGACGAGGGACAATTTGCGACGATAATGACTATCCCAAGGCGGCTCGATGAACTTCTACCGACTTTCAAAGCTTTAGCAGAATCTAAATGGGGTTTACAAGTGCTACGTGACGAGGATACTTGATCCGGGACCCACCAACGATTATCCGATAGACTCGACCTCGCTTCGATTCGAGGGAGAAAGAGGGGAAAGAATCGTCCCAGCCGTTCTCCTCTTTCGAAATTTGTAAAAATTTGTAGTTTCGTTGTCGTTTGGATAAGTTTGAAACGTGGAAAGGGAGCTTTTCGAAAAGTGGTGGAAATTATGGTAACCTCGATTCGTTGCTTTCGAACATCGAATTTACGACGATTTTAATTTAAACAACGACGAAGAATGGCTTCGAAAACGGATGTTTCCGTAGGGAAATAAATTCTTCCGTTATTTTTTCATTATTTCTTTTTTTTGTTTTCTTCAATTTCAATTCGTCCCATCGAGGAACGGAATATTCATCTCCATTTACGTTTTCGTGGCTCGAGAACGAATCGATTGTAAATTTGTATGATAAAAATAAAAGTATTTGATCGGCAACGATATCCACGTGATATATAATTCCATCGAATATATATCGCCTATCGAGATTATTCTTGCATTACCACGTAAACCCGTTCGTTCGTTTCCATTTCGTCGAAACTGTGTTGCGCTTAATCGTGAAACTTGAGGTACGTTTTAATATCCTTAATCAACCGGGTTTCGTTTGACTTTTCGAAATAAATTTCGACCGCGAATTAGCGTATTATATTAACGGATGAATTACGCTGGAATAGAGTGCAAATAACGTGAGAACCGTTATATGATTCATTTTCATTAGCATTCGAAGGGGAATTTTGAGATTCGAAAACGAGCGAGAATCGGGGCAGGGCTCTTAAGAAAAATCAGCGTTTAATTCAAATTTATGATAATTGGGTCTGTGATATCGAGTTTAATAGCGATCCCTCAACCCCTAGGAATTTTCAAGAAAACATCTGGATTTCCTTTTATTTTTTTTTTTTTTTTTTTTCCTTTCTTTCTATCCTCGAGAAGGATGGAATGCCGATCAAAGTAGTGATTAGAAGGATCGCGATAAAAGTGGGGATCAAGGGAGTCCTGGTAAAGATTCCCGATCGATCAGAGGTGACACAAACGACCTTTTTACGAGCGACGAAATCAGATTCACTTTGATCCTGGATTACTATCCGCATTGAAAAGGAGATTCTCGAGGCGTTCGAGGAGCATCTTGATTTCGAGATCGTTCGACCCTTTTTTTTTAAAATTACCTTTGTCGATTATTCCTCTTTAATAAGCTATCGTTTAAGCTGTAAAATTAAAAAAAAGAGAAAGAAAAAAGAGCCGACTAATTACGTTTGTATCGTTTCAACGATCATTTACGACACGTGAGAAGAAAATTTACACCCGGATACAATGTATCCGTTACGTTATTTGGAAATAAAACGGATAGATGGATAGGGGAAATTTTTCGAAATACCATCATCGTATTTCTGCCTTACGGAATCGTCCCGTTGAAAATTTTAAAGCGTGCAAGGCGGGGAATTTGATATCGTTTTCGCGCGTGCTCATCGGAACGTTCCAATTTCAGCCACGTTGCCGATATCGTGCTGCCAATTCGTCCATTTCCCGTATTCGAAAAAATTTAATTTTCCAAGAAATTAAATTGCTCCCAGTTTCTGGTTTATATAAATAAAATCAGAAACATATCGCGTCGCTATATCGATTTAATAATGAAACAGTAGCCTGTCAAGGATTAATTCGCAAGAAATATATATATATGTATTTATCGTTATTTTTTAGCCTTCGACTGTTACGCCGTTTTAACAGGATCTTTATAAATTGCACGAAGGTTATTTTCGCTTGTGTACATTTCACGAGTATCGCGACGAGAAGAGTATTGCTCGCGGAACTAATCAATTTTCGATTAGCAAACACTGGGATCGGAGTAAAAAGTTGATTCGATATTTCTTGTTGCTCTGTGTGTACAACGTATTTTTCTGTACACAGCATGCTCTGAAAACGGTACGAGATAATCGATGCTACAATTTTCTCATGGATTATCTCTCTCGCCGATGCGATCGTTATGATCGTTCGAGATTAAAATGGCCAATCGGAATCTTCTTGTTGTCGAATTTAATTTCTTTTTAACAGGGATAACGTACATTTTTCGTCTTTTAAACACATCGAAACGAGATTTGGGAATAAAGTTTGGAAAGTCGGACATCAATCTATCGTTAAATTGTTCTTTCTTCTCGGATCGTTACCGTGAAACGGAGTTAAATTTGTCCGGAAAAAAAACTGCGACAGATTTTGCAGAAACGTCAAATGGCAAGATTTATGCGCAGCTGCGAGGGAGGACAATGATCAAACAATAGACAGGGCAATTCGAGGCAAAACAAACTTAGTTGTGAAGTTTTAAGAAAGATTTCACTTCGAGTTAACAATTGAGGAGAAAAAAAAAAAAAAAGGAAAGAAAAGAAAAGAAAAGAGACATTGGTGGAGAGGTTAACTATAGAGTTTGAAAAACGATCGTTTCAGTTTTTTATCGAACTTTAAAAGACGGAAAACTCCTTAAACCATCCTTTCCTTTGATGTTCTTTTAAAAATCGCTCCTCTTTACGTTTCTAATCGTCTTTTTCGTCTCGTTTACAATAAATATAATTTGATATTCTAATCATCGAACCGTCCAAATTCGTTTCAGTTTTATGATAATCGGAAAGTTTCTATTTGTATCTTATTTAACGGATAAAAGTTAAAGGAAAAGATGTAAAGGCGTTTAATTTTTTCTTTTACGAGATAAATTTGAATGTTTTATGATTATTTATATAGATTTTTAATGCGAATCGCATGATAAATTACGAATTTATATTTCGCCTCTGAAAAAGAATATTGGACGAAGAGGATACTTGTACGTAAAGTAAAATTCAAAAATGTAAAAGTAAAATGGATAATGCAGGATTTTTCCTGGGATGAAATAAGCTTCAGCTTTGAACTGTAAATCCTCGATTGCTTTCTCCCCTTTCTCTAGAATTTTCATTATTATATTCACGTATTACCATGAGAAAACGAAGATGAAAGTAACGTCAAAGTTGGATGGTAGATACGAGAGATACATCTAACGTTGTATCGAGCGTTGAAAAGTTAATAATTAACTATCAGTTATTGGCAAAATTTATTGGTTTATTGGTTTCACGTGTACAATTGCAAAATTAAAAAGCCAAATATTATCAATAATCCATTTTCATTCGAAAATGGGATGAATTTACGTAATCCATCGAACGCATTCCCAAAATTACTTACTTGAATTCCAACAAATTATATAACTTTGTCGAACAATAACCAGAAAACAATTGGCACAATGTATTAAAAAATTATTTTAAAGAATCCACTCAACTAGAGCACGTTCAGGAATCATTTCGAAAAAGCATTATTTTAATAATTTTTTCGAAAGTATTTCTAGCGACAAAGTATGCTCGACTAGAAGTCGGAATTAATTGATAAACTTGAAGACGGCCTAGATTTTCCTCTGGCACTCGAATCCTCGATCATTCTATGGAAAGATAGCATTTTCAACTAACTTCCGTCGTGGAAATACCTTATCGATGTATCGAGTCAAAGATGATCTGTAAAGGGATAAAAGGATAATAATTTCAGGGAAGAAAAATCTTCAAGGCGATTTGCGTGACAGAAAAGAATATACCTCGATGGTTATTGAAATGGAATAATTTTTGTTGATAGTTTGTCTCTTGGATTTTTTCTTTTTCTTTTTATTTTTCTTATTTTTTTGACGTGTCTGGTTTGCACAGTTCGTTTACCAGCTTTTCTATAAACATCTTGGACAGGTTCTTTGGGGATATCTTCTTTCACAAGCTTTTTTCTCTTCCTTTTTTGGCTTTTTTGATAAAGATTCAATGTCTCGTTGGTTTCTAAGGCCACGTTTAATTAAAGATCAAACATGAAAAAGCGATGTTCAACGAAGATTAACTTCCCCCCCTTAAATTGGGACTGAAAGATAAATAATTTTCACATTTCACGAAGAATCCATAGAAAAATTCGCAATGATGGCAATTGTAGCGGAACGATGATACGTGGTAAAGAATTTTTTCGAAATTTCATCGAAAGGAATTACGTGCCTCTCTTTAACAGCAATCATGCGGAACCAATATGTTGAAACCGAGGAAAAATGGTCAAAAAGTTGTACACCCGATAAAAGCGTATCTTTCACCGTTTAAATGAACCAATCTGTGATTGGGAAGGGAACGAAATATCCCATTTCTCCAGCGAAGAAAATACCGGATTGCAGGATGCAGATACGTCCCAACTTCTTTCCGTTACGATCCATGTTTTACGCTCCCATATTTCCAGCTGATCGTCCATTCTGACGAAGAAAAGATTTTCGAGGGCCAATAAAACCA